ATGATTGTAGCCATTTCTGTATTACCTTTAGCAAAACTTTACTCGCTTGAAATCTCAAAGAGATTATCTGATGATTTCTGCATTCCGTTGGGTCACCTCTCTTTGAAATGGGCACAAATATTGAGCTCTTCCAATCAGTCGGTCAGATAGCTGTCTTCCAAATTTCCTGGCAGAGATGAGTGAGTGCCTCCTGTGCTGCCTCACTTTGTTGAAAGATTTCCATTTTTATTCTGTCAATTCCTGGTGCCTTGTTCTTTGCCACTTCTTTCAGTGCACTTTAGAAAAACAGCTTCAGGGAAGAGGTAATATTTGAGATTTGTACTTTAAAGAAAAGAGGGAAGAGACCTTTTATTTTGATAAAGGTTTATTATGTAGATTATCTCACTTTACTCTCTCTAACCCCCTATAAAACTATTATCTACATGTGTTTTACAGGCCAGAAACCTGAAAGGCGAAACTGCTAAGGTGGGCAGAGAAAGAATGTGAGACCAGGTCTCTGACAACACACTCTGCCCTCCTCACTCCATCCCTCCCTTCCCCCAATTCTGCAGTGCAGTAATATCTGAGATGGATTAAAATTAAAAGCAGAACACATCATCTCTTGGACAAGGACCCTTCACTCAGATAAATCTGAGAGAGGAAATTACAAGATGTTTATGCTGCCAGGAGCATTCGAAGGGAAGAAAGCAATGCTTGTTAAGTGCAAATGAGCACGTATCACCGAGGTTCAATCCTATGCCCATAAATGTTAATGAATGGTACTTGGAAAGGACATTAAAAAAATATATTCCTAATACTAGCTACCATTTGTCTTTTATACACATATTATAACCATGGTTGGGTTTTCCCCTGATGAAAACGCTGCGTTTCAGAAAAGTAAAGCTGCTACTCCAGCTATACGTCCCACATCACGAGAAGAACCAGTGTTTGCTTTTTCAGCAGCGTTACAAAATGCACAGCCGTACCTTCTCTGGGTCTTACCATGTCTTTACTACTTTTAATAGAGGAAACAAGGTCTGTTTCTAGAGGAAGATCACTTATCAGCTCAGCATTGAGCAGCAATGGTCTCCTTGAGCTACGCCCACTCAGCTGCAACAGCACGCAACACCATCTATCTGCTTCCTTTTGGGGCAAGTCAAGTCTCAGAATTTATTCAGTTTTAGCAACTTGTCTATAAACGGATATATATGTACTTACTTTTAAAGCTCACAGGAAACATCCCACTGGACAGCTAGTCACAGTTTCCGTGTGGGCGACACATCTTTTTTGATATTCTAATGTCTGGCCATTGGCAAAATGAAGCAGGTAAAATGCACTTTTGTGAGCACTGTGTTTAAGAGAGATAGGGGATGCTTCTGGTCAATCAAACAA